TTTGCGATTAATCGCGATTAACTATGGACAATCATGCGATTAATCGCGATTAAATATTTTAATCGACTGACAGCCCTAATTAGATGATATAAAAACTGGATCCTCTTCAGGTCAGGTTACAGCAGAAACTCTTAATTTGTGTCTGAGGGTCCAGGTTCATTACTGAAGTTTATAGAAAAGTCTTTAGACCGGTCACTCTTCAGAGACAGACAGCTGGGGACTGAAGTAGTGATGTGTCGGTCGCGAACGAGCCGATTCTTTTGAACGGCTCTTTGGTACGAACGAGGGGAACCGAGTCGTACTTGGTGAGAGCCGTTCTTCTTATCGTTCAATCAAAGTTGGTCCGCACTCACTGCCTGCCAAAATTCACTCGCCTTTTAAAAAGCTTGATTTTGTTCCCCAAACGTATTCTGTGAAGACCCGCCCCTACTCTGATTTGTAGGTTTCAGCACGAGGAGTTAGGTGGGGTGGGTCTTAACGGAATACGCGAGAGAGAGAAGTCATAACAAGTGGTACTGGACAGATAGACGACGTGTTTTTCGGATGTAAAATGAGCCAAACGCGAAAACGCAGCAGCATTTGGATGCACTTCAACCAAAACCCAGGCAGTGATAAAGCGCACCATTTGTAAAGGCAAAATATCCTTTAAAGCAGGGTCAACAAATAATCTCCATCGCCACTTAAAAACACACTACTAATATTAAGAGTTGCGTGAATTTCATTCAAGGCAAGGCAACTTTATTTACTTAACACATGCAGAGGGTAAATTCAAAGTACATTCACTGACATGAATGACATGGATATGGCGCCACCTTGTGTCATGTTTACAATGCAGATTATTGACATTAGGTCTGGCAATGCAGTCAATCATTATCCTGGTGATTATTTCGCAGATAAACCTAGTAACCCCGCCCCCTTTTTAAAAAAACGGCTCTTTTGAACGGCTCTTTTGAACGGCTCTTTGAAAGGAACGGAGCCATAAGATCCGGCTCCCTTCAAAGAGCCATAATTCCCATCACTAGACTGAAGACTCTGCTCTCTGTCTGTGGAAACAACACATGTTTTAAACATCATTAGTTCATTCAGAGAGCACATTTTGACTTCTGTCTGTTTGTAGATTATTTACTATCGCTGATGACGCCAGGGATCAAGAGTTTAAACGTTGTTACTGTACTGTTACTACGTTTCTTTACTGCGATCATTAAAGAACAGGTTAGATACAGGTTTACATAAAAACTGGATCCTCTTCTGGGGTCTCATTTATAAAGGGATATACGCTCAAAAAATTGCGTACGCCAGTTTCTACGCAATGTTTGCGATTTATAAAATACTAACTTGACGGGAAAATGTGCGGTCCTCCACGCAAACTCTAACCCATGCGTACGCACTAAGCACACACACGGGAGAGACGAGAAACTGCGACACCGTTGGCAGAAGGAAGAATGGAGAGAAATATGTGGAAATAATACCATAAATAAAATGTTACCTCTCATTTATCAAATATGAAGAATTCATTTTCAAACATTGATTAAAGCCAATCTTAAAATGATTAAACAAACGCCTGTTTGAGACTCCTCAGTGCACACAAAAACATAACTTGGAGAAATAAATAAATACGGATATGTTATTTAAAACCACCTCGAATATGTTGTGTTCATGTTATGAAATGTTTTCTCATAAATGATGCGGTAAGCAGGAGGACAGAATAACGTCTAAACTGACGCCGTTTTGCATTTCTATAGGTTGTAGATACGAGCATGGTTTTATATACTATCACGTTTAATCGTGTTTTATGCCGTTTGCCAAGACTTGATAAGTCGCTCGTAAAACACAGGAGGTATGGAAACTAAGAACACCATATGTGGTAAATTGTACAGCTAATATAACACAACACATTAGTTGTATTTCCTTTAACTGGTGGATTATGGATATATAGTTGCTGATCGACAGCTGGAACACAAACCACCAAATACAACAAAATAATTCAGATCCGGTCGTCATGACTACACTCCGGAGGGATTCCCCGATCATTTCTTACAGTTTCTCATCAAGGGGGTGTCTCCTGTCCCCGGGACAAACACACTGCCTGAGGAAGGTTATGTGTATTTTTTTTGTCATTAACTTTTTTCGGACCACTTATTTATTTATTTTGGTGACGATCCGACCTCCATGCTGCTACTCTGGTTCAAACTGCATCCACCAAACAATATGATTTATCTCGACCTCCCCAAAATAACCAAAATCTGACACGGTGCGAGATGTCTTTTTTATGGGCTCAGAACAGTCTCATAATACACACATGCACACAGAAGGATTCACACTTGTATTTCCGGATCCACACTTGTGTTTGTCAACGCACACACAAATGTGTTCCGTTTCATATACATGTAAATAAAATCCAAATACAGAAAAAAGTTTTACATATGTATTTTTGATCCTCACATATTTGTTTTCCGTTTAAATCCCCTGAACCTGCAAACACAAACCGCTTTCTGTGCATGGATCGCTATGCATTCGTGTGTGGGTTTTTTTAGACTCCCCTGACGGTCACCCGATTCGTACTTGTAATTAGAGATGTCCCGATCGGAATCGGGAGAAAAAAATCGGGGATCGGGAATGTTTTTTTTTTTCTTTTTTTTTTTATAAAATATTTTTATTATTTTATTTAATGTTACAAAACAAAAATGACCATGTTCACGTCTTAAAGTCATCCTGAGGCCTTAGTTTTGGTTTAAAATTACACAACATTATGTATGTGTTGCTTCTTTTGGGCTTGTTTTCATAGACCTGGTTGCTTATTTCTCTCAAATCTGGCAACAGAGTGGGCAGGGCGCAGTGTCTATTAGTAGCAGTAAGCTAACAAGAGGCTACGTTCAGCTGGTGCCTCGGGAGTCGGGACAGAGAAAATGTCAGGAGTTTGGAAGTATTATAAAATTGAAAGCGAAGGCAGTGTAACAGCCAGATGCAATGGTTGCAAGGCGGAGGTTCCGCGTGGTGGAAAGAACAGAGCTACGTTCAACACGACCAATCTAATATGCCACCTGAGAAACAAACACCAACAACAACACGACGAGTACACAGCGGCCACTCAGGTAACGGCACTGAAACAACCGACACTTTCAGAGACTTTTAAAAGGAAAGAGAAGCTGCCCCAGAACAGTGAAAAGGCCAAAAAAAGAACAGCCAAGATAGCTGAATTCATCGCGTTGGATGACCAGCCGTTATCTGTTACCTTTTTTTTCTCTTAATGCATTGCATAAAGATCGGATCGGGAAAAATCGGTATCGGCAGATTGTCAAAATCAAATGTTCGGAATCGGATCGGGAGCAAAAAAAGGTGATCGGGACATCCCTACTTGTAATTGTTTCTATCTATAGCAGATCAGATGTCTCCTTCATTCTAAGCCAATCACATGAGCGCGCCCCCACGAGGGTATGATTTATTGCGTTCATGACGTAGCGCTTTATGTACGCATTTTGCGCTGTCCGGAGCAGGGTTTCCGCGGACAAAATTTATTTTACCGGACAAATTTGAAACTTACCGGTCATGTTTCAATAATAATAATAAGAAGAAGAAGAATTGTGTAGCAGAGTTTCCGTTAGCAGGTAATTACCGGACTATGACCGGATAATAACACGGGAGTAAGGATCATCTCTTTTCCTCTCTCCCTCCCTCTCTCCTGACAGCCCGTCAGTTTCTCACGCAGCTCGCTAAAACTTCACTCGCGTTTATGTCCATATCGATCAGATCCAGCTCTCCTGATCGGCCTTTATAGAGAGCACCGATCAAACTATTAAGAGTGAATATCGGCCGATAATGACCGGCGGGGCTCCCCCCCGTTGACAGTTCACTGTCTAGCACTGGCTTCGTAGTGCACTGATCGCTCCACACTCACAACAACTTCATACAGGCATAAATAAAGCAGCTGTATTCACCATACAGGAAACACACATTTAAAACGGTTTTGCCTGCCGTTTTTGTGTACACAGGCATTCATTAATGGTTCGGAAAGTGGCACTGTACCTTAATAATATAAAGGCTTGTATTTGCGTGCATTTCCTGCTCGGAAAGTGGCAATGTACTGAGAGTGGAGGTGTCCTGAGATTAGCGCCTGCAGGCAGGCTCCATGGACCTGTCAGCTCCGGACAGCGCAAAATGCGTACATGAAGCGCTACGTCATGAACGCAAGAAATCTACCCTCGTGGGGGCGCGCTCATGTGATTGGCTTAGAATTGAGGAGACATCTGATTGGCTATAGATAGAAACAATTACAAGTACGAATCGGGTGACCGTCGGGGGAGTCTCAAAAAACCCACACACGAATGCACAGCGATCCATGCACAGAAAGCAGTTTGTGTTTGTAGGTGCAGCGGTTTTAAACGGAAAATAAATATGTGAGGATCAAAAATACATATGTAAAACTTTTTTCTGTATTTGGATTTTATTTACATGTATATGAAACGGAACACATTTGTGTGTGCATTGAAAAACACAAGTGTGGATCATGAAATACAAGTGTGAATCCTTCTGTGTGCATGTGTGTATTATGAGACTGTTCTGAGCCCATAATTTTTTAGCTGTTCTATCGTCATTTCCTGCGATCTTCTTCATGCAGTCAGTCAAAATGAATGAATGAATTAATGAATGAATGAATGGGCGTTTCTTTGACTATTTATAGGCAAATATGGGCGTTACGAGTCGATTGTGATTTATAAAGGGAAACAGGCGTAGGGAGTGCCGTACGCACTTCCCTCGCCGGTACACAATGTTTTGTGAATCGGAAAATGTCGGAACATTTCTGTACCTATTTTTTTGCTTTGTACTACGTAAGCAACCTTCACACGTGAATCCTACGCAAGGCGTTATAAATGAGGCCCCAGGTCAGGTTACAGCAGAAACTCTTACTTTGTGTCTGAGGGTCCAGGTTCATTACTGAAGAGTGGAGGTGGATCTTTAGACCGGTCACTCTTCAGAGACAGACAGCTGGGGACTGGAGATGTGTCCTCTTCCTCATCTTTAAAACCACTCATCTTCTCCAGTCTGAGAGATCACACACACACACACACACACACACACACACACACACACACACACACACACACACACACTCACACCTTTTAGTCTGGCTTGTATCTAGTGTGTGTTAACTTATTAAACTTGCACTGTATCTTTTCTTTCCTGAGGAGCCCCTGTTAGCCACAGATCAACACACACACATGCTGTGTATCATCATAATATTTAATGTAATGTAATTTAATATAATGTCGGTCTGTTACCTGCTGGTATGTTAGGGTCAGATCTCTGATCACCACGTGTTCATTAGGAGGTGTCTCCCCCTGCTGGAAACACAGGAACAACACGTGGTAAATACACACAATATGTTCTCAGTTAATGAACATTTCTCGAAAGCTTCACTTCATTAAATGCTTTAATATTACCAGTGACCGACTGTAACTAAGTATATTTCCTCAAGTACTGTACGTTGTTTTTGTTTAATCCAATACATCTCAGAGGGAAAAATTGCACTTATTACTGACTACATTTATCGAACCCACATGGTTTCATCTAAATAACAAATTATCATTATTTCATTACAAATACAATGTTGGAGACATGTCTAGAAAGGGAGAACAGATTTATGTTTTAGAAATCATTTGCTTCTTTCCACCCGAGATTTACCTGGTGACCTTTGGAGGGGGCCGACCCTTAGGTTGAGAACCTCTGGACTAAACTATCAAACTTTATATTAAGGAGTAAAAAAGCTGCTCTAAGATTAAAGCGTTTGTATTAATAATGTCAGTAATTATGACACACACACACACACACACACACACACACACACACACACACACACTTGTTTAAATCGTAACCATCATAATAATAAACTTGTGCTATGATATTAGGGTCATGCAGAGTCAGGCAGCTGTCCCTTTAAGAGAGAGAGAAGAGAGGAGAAGAGCAGAGGAGAGAGAGAGAGAGAGAGAGAGAGAGAGAGAGAGAGAGAGAGAGAGAGAGAGAGAGAGAGAGAGAGAGAGAGAGAGAGGGGGGGGGGGGGGGTTGGCGCGTGCATGTGTGTGCGCATGGTAGAGCGAGCGAGAGTGAGCGAGCGGTGGTATGTGTTTTTGAAGTGAACGAAGCAGCAGCAAAGGTCTGTTGTGTGTCTTAAACGTTAGATCTGTAACAAAGACCTTAATAAATGCAACGGCCTCCCAAAGAAGAGCTCGCCTGTCTGCCTTATTGAAAAGTGGGTTATTGAACCCAAAGTTTCTTGCTTCGGCCCTGGAAGACTGCAGAGAGTCACCCCTGTTTCCTCCACTACGGTCTGGGAGCCGACAGGAAAGTTTAACACTTTGTTAAAATACATCAAATCAGTCAGACTTCAGACAGGCCGCTCCCCATTTTGACTGCGCTGAGCTGTCGCATGTTATGTTGCTTTGATGAATCAGAAAACAGGAAATAAAAAGAGTTTACACCACTTGTAGAAGTCTCTTTGGACTCTAAGACGCTGATGTTCTGACATCCAGTAAAACAGAGTAAATAATGTGTTAAAAAGCAGATCCTGGTGTTAACACTCACCTGTTGTCCTCCTGCTCCGTCGAGCTGTAAAATGGCTTCTGGCACTCTGACAAGTCTGACTTCATACTTTCACTTTTAACTTCCCTTCCTGTCTGCAGCTTCTCCTCTTGATTCATAACCAGCCTTATCAGCTGAACCAGTTCACACACAGGGACTATGTTCAGTGAGATAGAAATAGAGCTAAACACAAGCTCAACAAAGTTATTGAAATAAACATATTAAAACCACAGTGTGATAACAAAAAATAACCCAGTGAACATCTTGCATTCAAAACCTCACTTAAAGGGGACCTATCATGCAAAATGCACTTTTGTACGTCTTTTCTACATGAATATGTGTCCCCGGTGTTCCAGGGAACTCACCAAGTGTCAGAAAACACAACCCTCTCTATTACCCTCTGCCACTTCTTTACAGAGCCCCTCCTCCAACACACACGAACGTGCACATGACCAATGAGGGCACGAGATAAGTTTGTGCACAGATGGAAGGCTGACAGGCAGGTAGGCCCAGTGTTGTAGTCAAGTCACCAATTCACGAGTCCAAGTCACTCTCGAGTCACCACTCTTCGAGTCCGAGTCCAAGTCCGAGTCACCCAAGGAGTGTCCGAGTCGAGTCCGAGTCCGAGTCCGAGTCATCATTACCTGTGTTCGAGTCCGAGTCCAAGTCCGAGTCACCCAAGGAGTGTCCGAGTCGAGTCCGAGTCATCATTACCTGTGTTCGAGTCCGAGTCCAAGTCCGAGTCACCTAAGAAGAGTCCAAGTCAAGTCCGAGTCACAAGTCTTCATGTATTAATCTTCGTGGATATATGTGTTGAAATGTAGCTGCTCCTCTACATTGCTTTTATCCTGTCATGTTGTACTAATCTGTCTATTGAACTGCTGTGAAGCCAGTTTGGCTACAATTCTTGTAATAGGTGCTATACAAATATAAAGCTTATTACTAATATTAATATTATTATTATTATTGTAAATGACCCATAATATGTCTAACTATATTTAAAATGAGTTACCTTTTAGAGAAGTGATTATATTTGTAATCCAATATTTTCCTATGGTAACGTTTTCGTTTTGCACTTTTATTTTGATAGTAATAAGATCGGGACTCTTATTTTGAAGGAACTTTTACCGGTCAAATCGGTTTACTGATGAAGATTAAGCCCTGGAAAGCACATGGCTACTTAGCATTCTGCATGTTAAGTAGCCATGTGCTTTAGGGTTATCAATCTTTATTTATTGATTAGATCACGTTACTCTGATGATAGTGTTCAAGACAGCCTATATGTCTGAACTCGATCCTTAGAGTAATGTGTTACGGAGCCTTCTCTTCTCTTCAATATTTTTTCCACATAACGAGCATTTTGCGCTGCTCTTTTCCAATGTGGAAGCAGAATGTGTGAAAGCATACAGCACGATGCGGGGTGTGTCTCTAGACATCTTTAGACTGGAATAGCGGGGCCCAGTACGTGAACTCGCCTCGCAGGTGCACACGCCAGGATAGAGGACATCAGACTCCAGAGAAAACTTGCTCGAGTCCGTGTCCAAGTCGGAGCGTCAATGTACGAGTCCGAGTCCGAGTCATCGTGGGGGGGAACATTCACGAGTCCGAGTCCAAGTCATTGTAAGCGAGAATTCACGAGTCCGAGTCCGAGTCCGAGTCCAAGTCATCATGCGCGAGAATTGACGAGTCCAAGTCCGAGTCGAGTCACGAGTCCCGAAAATCGGCACTCGAGTCCGAGTCCAGGACTCGAGTACTCCATCTCTGGGTAGGCCATCCAGTTATTTTAGCCGGGCCGGCTAAAATGATTGGTCGTTTTACAGTATTACGGCTTCCACAGATGACATTTTTTTATGGATTTTTTGTCAAAGCACTTCAGATATTCATTGCTATCGGGATGTTAAGAGCATTCCATGGAATATAACAAAAAGTGTATCTCGAGCCGGTTTCTCAAACTTACCTACCCCACCTTTAAGACGAACACAACTGTGTTTAAATTATAATTAGATCAAGAGGTTAATACACCTTTTTTAAATGGATTTCTAATCATTTCAACCCACCATTGAGCGCTGTTAAAAAGCAACAAATTAAACATCAGATCAAAAGAGAACCATTGATGTCTGAGCTGGACTGATCCATTTTTTGAAGGCTTAATATTTCTCAAATATACTGAATACACAGAAAACAAAAAAAGGCTTAATTTAATCAAATGTTTTGATGTCTAAATGTCCTCCAATTCTGGAATCATCAAAATAAAAAGTGAGTCAAACTCCAGCTAGAGGACAATATTTAAATGTTATCAGATTCACCAGCTAGCTAGCAGTTAGCATTAATTAGCATTGCTAGTGTAACCCTTTATGTAGCCTTACCCTGCTGGTAGGCGATCTGTAATGCTAACGATGGCACAGTATTGAGTAAATGTACTTTACTTCCCACCTCTGCTATAACATATATATTGATATATATATACTACTATATTAAAACACAACCAAGCCTCAACTATGTCTTATACCCCACAATATATCATAATTTAAAAATATTTACGTAAACTTGTTTAACCTCTAAATACTCTTCCATAATTTGGATTTTTATTCTATATTTATCTTATTTTATTTTACTTCACCTGCGTTTTTCTCCGTCCGGTTGCAATAACTGGATTTCCTCCTCGTGGATCTAATGAAGGTGCATCTTGATGTTATCCAACGTAAAGGTTACAAATAAATAAATAAACAACAATAAGAAATGATTAATAAAAATTCACCTGACAGATAATTACAAAACAAAACCATCAAACTTCTGTTTTCCCTTCTGTCTGAACTTTAAATGTGCTTTGCAGAATGAAATGACTGCTAACAGATATCTTATTATTATAACTTATTTTCTCTTAGCTTACAATATAACATGTTGTTCTTTCTTATTGAACAAAACAGAAACACACATTTTAAAAAGGTCCCCTATTATGCAAAATCCTCTTCTTCATGTCTCTTCTACATCAACATGTGTCCCCTCTGTGTAAAGAGATTCTAACAATGTGTTGTCTTGTGTAACCATTAGCCAATCACCAACCAAGGTAACCCCCCCCCACCTTATCACCTGAATCTCCTCCTAGAGCACCATTGTGTTCTTTGTAACCAAATCTCTCTCAGAGGGGCGTGGGGAGGGGCTCCTTATTTTCATCTAAAGTAACAGACACAGAATCAGCACTTTGGAAACAGGGCTGAAACAGAGGGGATTATGGGTAATGCTGCAATGATCTGTTTGGTGTTTCAGCCAATCAGAGACAGGTTCTGTATATATCTGAGACCTATAATATATTGTTGAAAAGAGCATAATAGGGGACCTTTAAAGCGTAATCTTTGCAATATCAATTATTTTGTATTTCACTGTATGTCCACTGTAATATAGAGAGACTTGTTTAAAATGATTCAAAAGGAAAATATGATGTAGACCATAAAATGCACCTTATAGTTCACTGAATGATATTATTATTTTAAATTACATTAATCTTAATGATAGTTAAGTTGATGATTGCATTTGTCACCATTACTGCTACATGAAAATGCAGAAATCAAATTCTCCCACACATAAATGAAACCTGTATTCAAACCATTCATTTTGTCACAAACGAGCTGAGGACCAAAATGCAAAACACGGGGAAACCAGGGATAGTCTGTAACCAGCTTTATTGAAGGCAATAACTGGTAGGAGACGAAAAGGCAGGTAGTAGGCAAAGGGCTGGTCGGGGACAGGCGAGGGTTCCAGGAGAAGGCAAGACGGGAGTCGCAGGTACAGACCGGGTCAGGGAGCAGGCGTGGCAGAATAGTCCGGGTACAGGCAGGGTCAGGAATCAGGCGAGGCAGGCAGGTCAGGGACAGGCAGGGTCGGAACCGGGAGAGCAATCTGGGAAGTAATGCTGGAAAGACTGGCATGCTGCAAAGTACGATCTGGCACTGAGGTGAGAGTGAAGTGGGCCTATATACTACTGGAGCTGATGGGTGTAACAGAGTGAAAGAGAGACAGGGTGTGGCTACCAGGTGACTAAGGAATGTTAATGCAGAAAATAGGTGAGTGAGAAAGCAGACTGTGACAGAACCCCCCCCTTAATGGACGGCTCCCGACGTCCAAGACAAACCTACGGGGAAAAAAACAAATAAATAAAAAATCAACAAAAAACCTACAGACACCGGGTGGAAGGTGGGGGTATGGGAAAGGTTAATACTCATCTGAGAATGCTCTCTCGGCCTCCCCCTCCTGGAAATCCTCGTCCTCCTCGAC